GGTCTGTTGACTGTTGTATTTGTTCAAATAATTGTTATGGGCAGATTACTATATAAAAAAATGTATGTCATAATTATGTCTTGTGATTATTTGTTTTACTTTTAAACTGTACGTTTATTTAATTTAGTTATAATGCAAATACAATACAAATTAAACCAAGGTTTAGAATAATAATTATTTTGATCCGTACATTGGTAATGTCTGACTGGGCCTCGTGCCTCTTTGTGTTCAACAAATTGGGCCCCGAGGTCAAAAAGGTTAAGAACCCCTGGAGGTGTGATGGTCTGAAAGGGGCTCCAAGGTGATGAGGGTGACAGTTCCCACTTAGATCCACCACTACAGGACCCACARAACTCCAGAAAGCTTAAATGCACAGCGACTTCAAACCCAAAACATCTACAAGCGATGACGATGGAGGTCAGAGAGCATCTATCTGAAGATGGTTCTTAATGACGTCAACAAACCAACCCAACACAGAATGTGTGAAGTGAGGAAAAAACATAGTCCTAACATTAATCTGAGAACTGTTAACTGGTTTTTCACTCCACTTCTCATGCAGTTCTTCTAAAAGAGGCGTGGCCTCAGAGACAGGGTGCGACAGTGGAGGGGGGAGGTTCTTGTGTGTGTGAAAGGGGCGGGGCTAGTCACCAGGGGCTCCGTGTGCTGCTTGAGCTCCTCCAGATGCTCTAATATATTCTTCTTTGTGATGATGCCCAACACAATCCTGAAACACACACCTGTTACTCAGCAGACTGGCCACAACAACAACAAATAAATAAACAAACAAACAAACAAAAACAAACAGAGGAGAGAACAAACAGCAGCAGCACAAATCAAACAATGATAAAAAAAACAACTTGATGATAAAATGAACTGTGACTGAAAATTACACAACTTAATTAACACAGAATGATTTTAAATTAATTCAAAAATTTGTGGAAAATAAATCAACATGTTTAAAGAAATATATATAAAAAAATCAGTGTAGCGATATTTATATTTTTCTAATTATCATTAAAATTCACAAAAACACCAAACCCAGCAGACTGAGATTAAATCTATTTCACCCCTTTTATTATATTATATTAATATTAATTATTCTCTCATCTGTTGTAGAAAAGTAGGCAAGTACTTAAWCAGAACTTCTGACAAAAAATAAAGCAGATCTGAGCAGATTTATCACAGCAACAACAAACACGTGGTTAACTTCTAACACGTCTTTATTATCCTAAAAAGTGATGTTTTGGAAGATYAATGGATCGTTAATCTTTGTGCTACAGTGGAGCTTTAAATTATCTAGCGTTAAAAAATAAAGTTAGCCACAGGGCAGCACTGTTTTTAAAACACRTGGCGAGTCAAAAGTCTCAGGACACGCTTTTATTTTAGAAGCAAAACGAAAAATGATCTGAATACCCCAGCAAATATTTCAGATGGACCCCCTCACTCATTACTTGTTGGGGTATTCAGATTTTCTTTTTTTCTTTCTGAAATAAAAGGGTGTCCTGTGACTTTTGACTCACTTTTTATATCATTGTCTTCTTTTATTCTCTTAAACTTTATGTTTTGGTTGGTCTTGAAATGATACTAGAGTCCATATTTCCCATTTAAAGCCCTTAAAAAGTTGTTTTATTCAACAAAGGGGTGATGATTCTTTTATTTTTTTTTGGACCAACAGAAGGTTAGAAATACCAAATACCTGTTTAGAGACTTTGTTTAGGTCTATGAGGAAACACTGAGCTACTTCTGAATTCCCTGAAACCTTTTGTTTGCCTACCAGGCTTACGTTCTTTTTATGGAGTGACTATAAAACAGTGGTATAACGACACCAACATAAAAACACACAATCCCACATTATCCTAAATGAAACTAGTCCTGTTTGTGTGTAAACTATATAATTCTAAATACCAACGATATGAACAAATATTTCAAACACAGGTTTCTAGAACAAACGGGCACAGTCCTAACACTTGAAACATAAACACGATGCTGGTTTTGCTSTTTTTGTGTGTTTGCTTGAAAATTTGAAAAATACTAAATAACACCAACCATTTTATGTAACACCCAAATAAAAAGTTGAATTAATTGAAAATTTAAAATTAAACACTGCTGCTCAGTTTCTCTCCAGCAAACTGGGAATTAATCTGTAAACCGTTTCATCCCACCAGCAGAAAACTCGGCTGGATTTAAGTGTGCACCAAAAAACTGTTAATTTGGATCCACGTTTGTAAATAAACAAAATAAAATAAAAGCCTGGTCTAACAATGCGGTCTGTTTCTCTGCAACATTTTCTCCCAACGTGTGGCGTATCTGGGGTTAGTTTTTATAGTCAGCAGCCTGTTACTGCTCAGTGAAGGGGGTGAGGGAAGCGCAGCAGTTAGGTCGGGTCATGCTGAACCTGTGAGCTCATGCAACACCAGGCAGTGTGTGCATGCTTYCTGCGCAGCATCTCTCAGCTTCAGACTGGATCAGCGATCGCATCACCGCCACAGACGAAGGACCTGGTTTTYGCTGCAAAGTCTTCCGCTCGGGAMMAAAMSKTTTGAGACAAAAACTTACCCGTTGTGGGTGACCAGACACTGGCGCAGCCCCAGCTTTCTGAAAATGTCCACCACGATCTCCATAGGGGTGTGGTCTGTGACGGTAAAGGGGCTCATGTCTAGGATGGAGCGCAGCTTGAGGGGTCGAGGGCTGTCRGCCGGCAGGGTGGGAGCGTGCTGGGTGAAGTACACCCTGGAGTTCAACATGATGCCCTCCTGTTTGCGGCGAGCATTTTCTGTCAACAGAAACAAACAGACTGAGAAGGAGCATTATTTTACATTGTTGATGCTTCTGGTTAATGAGACTATGTTCTCCAGTTCTCCTCTGGAGCTTTACCTATAGCAATAGTTATGTCCCTTCGCAGAGCAAAGCCCACCAGTCTCTGYGACTCCTTGGACACGATTACAGGGAAACCATTATAACTGGTTTCGTTGATGACGGCCTGCAGCTCCTCCACCGTCAGGTCGTCCTGCGTCAGCACGGCCAGCGGCGGGTCRCTGCTCCGGGGTCTCATCACGTCTCTGGCCAGTGTGGTGTGCGTGAACTCCTCTTTGGCGTCCAGGAAGGGGTAGCCGTTCAGACGGATGTGGGCCTCGTAGATCCCCTCGCGGCCGAAGGCGTCGCCGACCCATTTGCTGGTCATGACGGCAGCCATGAGGGGAACGATGTACTCCAAACCGCCGGTCAGCTCGAACACGATGACCACCAGGGAGACCGTCATACGAGTCACACCACCTACAGACAAAAGAGTAGAACTGAAGTTAGACTGAAACAAACAACTCAARAAGAAGAAATCTGATTAAGCAAAATGCCTTTCAGTTGGGAACACCTCAGCACACAGTGACAAACTTGTTTACACCATTAAGTTTTGTAGACTTCAAAAAGACACAAAGAATACATTTTGTTGGCTTGGATAGTGATTAAGGCTGGGTTTAAATAATCTAATCAATCTGGATCGATTCTCGTTCAAATTTGGGAAAATCGATTCATAAGTCATGAGATCGATTTTTTTCCTCATGGGTGTTGTGTGCGATGAAGCTGTGCGTCTCCATGTTTGTGTGTCACTCCTGGCTTGCCGTAGGTTTACAGCCTGTTGACGTTCAGCGCTAACATTAGCTCCCGACAACAAGTTGTCTGGATCAAAACAAAAGAAACTAAGGAATCACTAACATTACAGCTGATTCTCAGCTGAACTTAAAGATAACAGAGGCCTTGACAACTTTTGATTGTAAAGATTTGAGCTCGGACGCGGTAGCGGGAAATGAAGCTTCGAACCAAAACTACGGTATGTAAACATCTGACTGACTGTTCTCCTCCTGTATAAATGTGTGAAAGATGTCAGTCTAACAAAATCCTTTAGTTTTGTTACCAATGTTATTTATAAATTTTAGAAACATCTTAAWGTAATTCACAGTGGAATGTTTTAGCTGAAGTACTTTTTTCTTTCTTTCTTCTTGTTAATAAGTTTTATTGAACAGAAGGGAACAGAAACATTATAAATATACAGTTTTCACACACTCATAGGAAACTGATTGCTCACAATTAAGTGTACTGTAGTGATTTTGTCTGATTATGTCAAATAAATGATCACATTTATTTGTGGATCAAATCAAAATTCACTGACTAAGAGTCACTTCTGTGTGTCCATTCACTTTGCACTGGAAGAATATTTTACCAATAATAAAATGATCCTTGCTAAAACAATATCCTTTAACATTGTTATAAGAGTGTAAGATAAACCCAAAAAATATCTTAAAATATGCTTTTCATACAAACTGAAGGCATCTGTTGACCCACCCAGACAGGCTGCAGCCCCCACCATGGCGTAGAGCCCAGGAGTGATGCAGTCGGCCCCCACCTCACACCACTCTTTGAACAAGAACCAGTCGTGGTGGTAGTAGGCCAGCTGCTCCATGGCGATGCCGACGATCCGCCCAGCGATGGCACCGATGGCCATGCTGGGGATGAACAGACCAGACGGTACCTGCGGAGAGGAAACAGAGGTTTCAGCGAAGGCAGAACAGAACAGAAYAGAACAGAACCGGGCTCATCGGGGGCTGAACCTCACCTTCAGTCCAAACGTGAATATAGTCATGATGATTTTGAAGATGAGTGCCAGGCAGAGCTGCCACATGGCGGAGTAGACGCCGGGCTCCGCCGGCCGGTTGGGGTCGTCGGTGAAAGCTCTGCTGCCGTTCATCTGGCTGCGGTACTGGCAGAGCTGAGAGGACTCCAGCGGGCCGCAGTCTGTGAACAGCTCCTTGATCAGCTCGCTGGTGTTCTGGCGCGTGTAAGGGTTTGGGAACGCGACCACCGCCGTGATGGCCGCCACCAGGATCACCTCCAGCACCGGGTACTTCCCTGAAGCSAGACGACAACGTCAGCCTGAGAAAAGCTGTGAGAGAACCGCAGCTGCAGACACGTACCGAAGCGGGTCAACTTGCGCCGCCGGCACCAGGCGATGTTGGCGCGGATGAAGAAGGCTCCCCAGAGCCCCCCAAACACACCCAGCAGTATGAAAGGAATGAGCTCAAAGAGGTACCACGGCGTGTGGTACTCCACGTAGAACAGTACCAGGCGGCTGTTACCAAACGGGTTGATGGAGCGCAGCACAAAGGCCGCCACCAGGGCAGCGAAGAAGGAGCGCCACAGCGTCTTCAGAGGAAAGTAGTAGCTCACCTGGAGGGACGTCAGGAGAGGATTTGTTTAATTCCTATTTGTGTTATGATTTGTTTAACCGGAATGATCATTAATATGCTGATGATGAGCTGGTATACCTCCTCCAAACTGAAGAGAACTCCTCCGATTGGTGCTCCAAAAGCAACAGACACACCGGCAGCTGAGGCTGCAGACAGAACCTGACAGGATAAAACAAACACGGGGTAGGGTTGGGCGATGTTGGCAATTGATTGTGGCATTTAACCGATAACGACTGAAATGAAGATTAATCCCCTGGAGTCCCTGGATGCCAGTCACATGACCAGTTTAAATCAGTCTTATGGGACAGATATGCTCGCCCTGAGAATCTGTTCCAGTCAGAGTTAACTAAAGTAAGTAACTAAAATGAGTTATAGTTAACTAAAACTAAATACCGAAAACTGAAATTGAAAAAACATTTTAGTTAACTGAAATAAATAAAAACTGTAAGAARATGAAAAAGAAAAAAATTGTGTAGGTCTTCTGGACGGGTTCTTCTCTAATGAAACGTTTCGTCTCTCCTCTAAGAGACTTCTTCAGTCTGAGAGTTTCAGGCAAAATTCAGGCTTTTAAGCACTGCCTCCATGTGACTGATACTCACATCACATGGCTATCGTTGACACCTAATTAACACCTATTGTTAACAGAGTTGTAAGAAGATGGCTGACTATGACTATCTTGACACGCTAGCTTCTCTCAGTAGCAGCAGATAGCATCGAGTTGGAGACAAATATTATCACTGTCCTAAAATAATCACCCAAGTCCTTTTTAGGTAAAATGGAGTTACACAATTATTTAAGGAAGGTGTTGCTATAATGGACGATTTAACTAGTGATCATAGAGCTATTGGTTAGTTAACTCACAGGAACATCACAAGCTTGAGGTTGCATTGGCAAATAAAGTATATAAAAAAACAATACTAGAACTAATAAAAACTAAACTAAACTAACTAAAACTAGGCATTAAAAATGCAATAATAAGTAATAAAACTAGCAAATCCACTGTAAAACTAATTAAAACAAACTGAATTAAAAGAAAAAAGTCTAAATGAAATAAAACTAAACTATAATGAAAAATCCAAAACTATTATAACCTTGGTTCCAATTTGTTTAAAAAGTACAGACTTCAATCCATCCTCTGGTCTCACCTTCAGCACGTCGAACAAACATAAAACCCTCAAACTCCTTTCTGACTGACACCAGAAATTATTTGTCAAGCACCAAACAACAGTCTACAGGAAGAAGAAGGATATTTAGTGTGTTCAGATTTTAAAGTTAGGGTTTAGTTTAGTCAGTTTGAGTGTTTTTGAGTCAAAACAACGAGACGATATTTGAACGTGGAGCTGCAGGTCGAGTTGCGGACGGCTAGAGAAGCTGTAGGCAGAACCTTTTCGGAGAGAGGAGTGAAGCTCAAAGACTGAGACTGACGAGGAAGTAGGCGATTCATTATTTGGACTAGAACAGGAAAGAGGACATCTTCGGTCAGTCCACTCGCTCATTAATCGTATTAATCATCAAGCGCTGAATAATAACCGTGGAAAGTTTTTCTGACAATTAATTGAACACAATAGGATTTTGCCCAACCCTGWCACGGAGTCATCAACAACAACTGGACCGTCTCTGGGCCTTCCTCACCTCTCGCTTCTTAGCCTCGTTCTTGCTGTACTTTGGGAAGAGGTAGGAGAAGATGTTACCGCAGCAGCAGGCCACGTGGACCAGGGGGCCTTCTTTCCCCAGGCTGAGGCCAGACGCCACGGCCAGAACCAGAGTGATGGTCTTTATCATCAGGGTCCACTTGCCCAAGTAGCCTCGGATGATGAACCCACTCAGGATTGTCTTGATCTGAGGTGGGCAGAGAGACACAAACCTAAATGCACTTCCCTTCAGGAGGTATACACAAAACATAACCTTTAATCATTTTGGAGACACAAGTTATTTTCATTTATAGCTCAAAATAAAACAATTATACAATTAGAATCACTTTGACTCATACAAATGTAATAGTACAGGCAAAGAAAAGAAGATCTAACTACAAGATTAATAAAAAGCAGAAAAGGGCCCAGCTGCAGGAAAGCTTCCATTGTACTTCTGAAGAAGGAATCAGAAACATCCTTCAACTCACCTCAGGAATCCCTGAGCCGCAGGCGTACGGTGCGAACACTTTGACCAGACAGACAGCCAGGAAGGCGAAGGACAGAGCCCAGTAGATGTACATGAAGTAGTTCATGATGTATGAGCCGGGGCCCTGCAGGGAGAAAGGAAGGAAGCACAAATCACATACAGTCAATGGTTAGCGTGGATATCTAGGAGCAGAGTTTTGCAGGCAAGTGGAAGGATTAAAAAGACACTGGTCTGAATTCTGGGTGGGTTTACCTCAGCCTGCCCCAGTATTAGCTCAGCCCAGCTCTTCCACTGAGGACACTTGTCCCGCTCAGCGAAGGTGGTCTCGTTGGACGTCCAGCAGCACTGCTCGTGGTTGAACCACATGGCGCTCAGACACACGCCCTCCTTCAGGTCATTCATCCAGTCGGCGGCAATGTCGATCAGGCCGGCCAAAGCGCCTGGTAGTAGGAACGAAAAGCATGAAACAGCAGAGGAGAGAGATGAGGAGGAACCAGGAAGCAAAGACTAGGAACACAGGGTGGGAGCAGATTGCATGTTCTAAATTAAGTGTAAAAATCAAGGTCCGAGGGCCAAATGTGGCCTGTGGGTTGGCCTGCCACGATTAGTCGACTAGTCACTACTATTGTCGACTAATTTAATAGTTGATGCGTCTTTTTTTACTCTAACTTTGTTTTTCTCTCCAAACTGCTGTGGCATTTTCCAGTGCCACGTCTGCCTTTCTGTCCTTCACACACATGTGCAGTAGTGGTAATTAGGGCTGCCACAGACGATTATTTTTATAGTCGACTATTAAAAAATATATATAAAGTTAGAAAATAAATGACACATCGACTATTAAATTAGTTGTTGACGATTTTAATAGTTGACATAATCRTGACTAGTCGACTAATCGTGGCAAAACGAAGGGTCAGTTAATTACAACTGACCCTTCACCATGTTGCTCATTAGACCCTCGCTAAAAATGACCCCCCAGTTCTAAATCAACAAAATATCTAGTCTAAAATGGGTACATTTGAACACCAGTAATGTTTTTTGTTGTTTTTTTTTTTCATAAAAGGAGACAATAACATCAACTCAAGACAATTGTTTTGCCCTCTAACATGAGCTCAAACAAAGGCTTGGTTAATTTTCTTTTATTGTAATCTTAAAAGCTTCTGGAAGGATTTTTGCAGTTAAGATGACTGAATTTGTTTTTGTGGCTCTAAGATAAACGAGGGAAACGTGTAAAGCAGAAAATGCCTGAGGCAGAACATGTGAGAATAAGCAGCGGAGGCGATGTGTGTGTGTGTGTGTGTGTGTGTGTGTGTGTGCGTGCCTTTGTATTGTTTGTGTGGACGTATTTTGACATTAAAATATCCTTATGAGGACATTTTGTCACTGAGTGGACATTTGCCTGGTCCACACAATGGAAAAACTTTGTGGTGAGGGAAAATGTCTGGGTTGGGCATAAATGATATGTGTGTGTGTGTGTGTGTGTGTGTGTGTGTGTGTGTGTGTGTGATGTTTTTCCTCACTCTGCATCCTTTTCATTCATGGCTTAAGTTGAATCATTTTTATTTTTTTATCCAAGTTTTTTGACATTTCTTTTTTATTTTATTGTATATAGATGGCTTGGTTTTATGAATGAAATAAACTGAATTGAATTTTAAAAAAAGTGTGTGTGTGTTACCCGATGCCAAGCCAGTGAGCGTCACAACCAGCCAACCGGACCAAGCATCATACAGGCTCTTGGTGAATTCCCATGCCGACTCTTTTTTCTTGCTATTGATCTGCAAACACACATGCAAACACAAACACACACACACAAATAAAAATCAATCAATGCAAATAAGCTGCGGTCTGGTCTTCTGGCACTATTGCTTCAATAAAACACTGCCAGGTAATAAAAGGTTCATAAAAACAAAATATTCAATCATTTCAGTTCTTATCATTAAAAGATTTGAACAGAAATATTTACAGGAAGTCTGCTAAACTGCTGAGTAAATATTTGAATAAGTGTGCCGCGATAAACAGGATGAGTCAACAATGGGGAGATGTGTGTCGTTTTATTCTGTGTCAGTATTTTAATTTGATGACAGTACAAAAATCTTTTTAAAATTTATCAAAATGTTTATTCTTTTCTAGTTTTTTTTTTTCGAGGTTTTGTTTCCTGTTATTCCTCACCTCTGTTTTCTTTGATTAATCTGAACTCCTGCAGCAGCAGGAAGCCTGAAATCAGATACTTCCTGTGCAGCTGGGAAGATTTATTTYAATATTTCTTGCTGACAGAGTTGATTATAAAAGCTTTATGAAAAGGAAATGAATCATAAGGATATTAGTTTGGAGTAATAATGAATTATTTCATTCAAACTTTTTCCATCCTCTTGTTTTGATTTGGTCCGAGGAGTACAGTACTTGTGCGTATGAAGTGTTTGAAGACTAAAGTTTTGCCCGTCGTCACCTTTCGGTGTCTCTCCCGATCCTTGCACTTCTCGCGGACCCAGTCGATGGTGTGGAAGTCATCGTAGGTGCCCACACCGGGAATGGGCTCCTCCAGGAAGTCCAGCAAGTGTGTGGAACTGCTGGCAGCCCCGCCTCCATTAGTCATGGCGTAGTTAGACCCTGAGGGACAAAAAAAAAGGTTAGTCCAGCTGGGTCAGGAGGACTGATCCTTAAGACATCCAGGTCAGGAGGCTCAAGACCAGTACGACCAGGGTTTGTGGGTTTCAGTGTCTCAGAAGATTTGCCTTTTAGTTGAGGGACCAGGGTCCAGTTTGCTGCTAGGCTCTTTCAGAATAAAAGTTCAAAAAAGCTGGCTTGAGGCTGATGTTGCCTCCAGCCAAGACAGGATACTTTTCTCATTAGCTCTCGAGAAAAAAAAATCTGTCAGGTTAATCTTCCCGTAGGAAGATTAGCTGGAAAATGAAGATAGCCGTTTTTGTTTCCTTGTTCACTCTCAGACTGTCTGAATCAAGTTCAGGTTAGCAGTATTCTAAAGAGGAAGACAGCTACGTGACTTTGAGTTAGTAAAAGCAGAAACAAGAATGTTGAGTCTGAAGAACGTCTTGCCAGAGAAAAACATTTTTACACCTGTTTCTGGAACCACAAGGTAACTTTGAACACAGTTTAAATGGACTAAAGTTCAATGACTGCTCAAGAACCATTTTAACTGAAATAAATCTAAAATATTTTTCTATGATTAAACAAATATTTCTGTAAGCATTTTTCAAAGTATCAGTGAAGTTATAAACT